CCAGCACTATATTATCTTAGTAATTTTTTCCACAAGTCCATATAGGTTTATGACACTGAAGTATTCATGTTAGTGTGGCTCATCAAAGAGGACCATAAACTATGACCAGTGGTCCCCCAGTTTCAAAGCCTGCATTTGCTCTATGGATTTCTCCATAAGCTTTCCCTGCATCACCATTGCATAAGTGAGCAATTCACAGCTTCCTTCTACTGAGAAGCAACGAAACATCCACTTGCCTGACAGAGAATTAATATTAAGGACTTGCTCAGCAGTGTCACAGTCTCATTTATAAACATTGAAAATAAACCCAGCACTGAGAATAATATAACATTTTGACTCATTATGACACTACTTTTTATAAACATTTCTTCCCAAAACCTTAGCACCTATCTGCCATGTGTGGTAATAAGATCCAGTTTCCTGACATCTCCTCCAACATTTAGGACTACTAATATGATTTATTTGGCTGAGATATTTTGGAATGAGATACCACAGACACACAAATTTGTGTCTGCCTTGGATTCCTATTGAAATCATTCTATCATTTTTGAGATTGTACCCCAGTACAGCTTTTCCCGCTCTTTTGTTGACTATGAGGATTTCTCCATTTCTTCTATGGGATTCTTGCCCACAATAGTAGAAATGATAATCATCTGAATTGAATTCGCCCATTCCCGTCCATTTTAGTTCACTGACGCCCAGGATGTCAATGTTGATTCTTGCCATCCCCTGGTTGACCACATCCAGCTTCCCAAGATTCATAGATCTTACATTCCAGGTTTCTATGCAGTATTTTTCTTTGCAGCATTGGACTGTCCTTTCACTTCCAGGCACGTCCACAGCTGAGCGTCCTTTCAGCTTTGGCCCAACCACTTCATGAGCTCTGGAGCTACTTGTACTTGTCCTCCACGCTTCCTCAGTAGCATGTTGGACGCCTTCCGACCTGAGGGGCCCATCTTCCAGCGTCATATCTTTTAGCCTTTTGTTTCTGATCATGGGGCGTTCTTGGCAAAGATACTGGAGTGGCTTGCCAGTTCCTGCTCCAGGTGGATTGCGTTTAGTCAGAACTCTCCACTATGACCTGTCCATCTTGGGTGTCCCTGCACGGCATAGCCCATATTTTCTCGGAATGACTCAAGCCCCTTTGCCATAACAAGGCAGCAATCCATGAAGAGCTGATCCAACCTATAGGCTGTATTAACAGTATAAAATCCAATCTCAGTGCAAGAACTCAGAAATCTCTGATTTCAAACTCTTGTGTTTTATGTTCATAATAGGTTCAGTGTATGCCTTTTAAAAGTCTTCCATATAGTGATAATTTATCTCATGGATTTATTATTAATTGAGTTTAATATAAATTCATTTCTCATAAAGTGCATTATACTTAGAAGAAACGTTTCTGCATTTTAGCATTACAGTTTAATGGAATGGAAATGTGTAATTCTTTTTTTTTCATTAGCCTCTAATTCTGTGAAGGGTGTCAAAGAAAAAATTACAAGATCATACATTTAATAATACTTAGAGTGTGTGCACCCTTCACTCTGCAAGGATGTAATGCAGCCATCTATAATGTGTGCTATGGACCGCATGCCTCTCTGTGGTGCTTCCCAAACCACCATGCCCACCGAATTCTTTTGCAGAAATATGGGCAGTCTCGGAAAGTCCCCTTATTCTTGCTAAGAGGGAACAAGAATCAAGTTTTCCATGTTTTATGGAACCCTGGAGCCCCATACCACCCAATTTATATTTCATATAAATTTATCACTAACAAGTACAGTGTGGCGTTTCGGTTTTGCAAAACAGTGTAGAAAGGAGCCTCTAAGCTTCAGACATCAGCATAGGTAGCACCCTGAATTGGGAGATCAACCAGCATGCCTGCACATATGTAGAAGATTCCCTGAAGGGTTCAACCAAGAACCTTTTCACTGTTCCTGCCATCCTTCAGGCATGTGCCTAAACAGTGCAACAGGTCTTTATAGGGAATTAATGATTTATGCAAAGTCACCACATTATTTTTTTAATTGAGCCACCTAAACATAAAAATAATGTCACTGGCCAGACTGGGAAGTTTGGATGTGAATATGTTGGATCAAATGTCGATAAATAGATAGACATTATTATGGTCAACAGCCGACAGCCAAAACACAAAGAAATCATAAATACATAAAGTGTGTTATTTCAGGAATGTGTCAATGTTGGATTTCTGTCACCATAAATAAATAAAAAGAAGATAGCTAAAAATCTTCTAGCAGCATAATTAGTACTGGATGTATTCCCCTCTTAGAAGATTGCTGCGGTTAACTAAATATTAATTATAAATTTACTGAAACCCTCCTTTCACACATTTTAGCTGCAGCAGCACAAAATCTCTCCACATTAAACAGCATATTTATATTCTGCCCTGAAAGCAATAAGTTTGTAATATGCCTTTGATCATCCACCAAATTTCTTGAAACAAGGTTCAGTGAGGGTTTTTCTAGATGTCAGGATTAAAAGGGCAATGGAGACGAAGAAGGGCTGTTGTTTCTAACCCTCCAGAATTATGATGACATTTGCATTGGCAGTACAGTATGGGGTCTTTTTAATCCCCGCTCTCTGGACTGCTGAAGGCAGAGCTTTTAGCTGGGGAAGAATGAAAGCTGTACAGTGGCGCCTTGACTTAATGACCATCCCGACATACGACCATTTCGAGTTGCAACCAGCTCCAGCTGCAAAATTTTGCTTCGTCTTGCAGGCGGAGCTTCGAGTTGCAATCAAAAGAGGCAGGGGAAAAAGGGGGGGAATTCAAATTAGAGGGCTAACTGTTGGTTGGCGAAGAGCTTCTTTGTAGCTCTTTCACCCCAATGGTTAGAGTGAGTGCGATCAGAGGAGGCTTCGGACTGCCTGGAGCTACTTTCTGCTCCTTAGTAAGTACATTTACTTTGTTTTGCATGGTGGGTTTGGGGGGGGTTATGTTTCTGTGCTGTGATTTTTTTTGTGTTTTGGTGTGTTCCCAGCCCCATAGTGCTCCACTGGGGCTGGCTGTGTTGGGGGTGTTTTCTGAGTGTTTTTTCCCCCAGGCCCATAGTGTTCCGCTGTGGCTGGCGGTGTTTTTTTGTTTTGTTTTGGTGTGTTTGTTTTTCGACCCCAGCACACTCCTATGGGGCTTGCAGTGTATTATTTTTATTTATTTATTTTTGGTATCCCCCCCCGGCTTGAACGGATTAATGGGGTTTCCGTGTATTTCAATGGGAAATGGTGCTTCGACTTGCAACCATTTCGAGTTATGCCCATCTTCCGTAACAGATTATGGTCATAAATCGAGGGACCACTGTATGTTTTTTTTTTCCAAATTGGAAGCAAATATAAATAATTCACTGGTTTCAAAGGCATTATCAAGCAGAATCATTTTGGGGTTTGTGCGTAGATCATATTGCCTGCCAACCTCTGCGGTATGTTATCTGAGGGCTAATTTAGCTGCATCAGATCTCATACAGAAAAGGCATTCCATGGAAAAACTCTCTGAGTCAAGCATATGGAGTTTTCTTGTAAACTGACTGATAATCTTTCTGAAATATCAGCTTCAGTCAAAAATTAAACTAACAAAACCCTTGTTTCAACCTCCAGAGAGAGCTCCCGCAAGTACATATTTTCAAGTGTATTTTTCCAGGTTGTTCTGCTGCCCGGTTTGTTTATGTGAATATCTGTGCAGAACAGTATTGTGGTTTAATAACTACTATTTGTTTGATTGATTGTGCATGTCTTTCAGTGAGTTTATTAACTATCAGCTGTTCAGTTTCCATATTTTGTTTAGATACAATTTTATTTTTAAAAAGCTAACTGTTTGCTTAATTAATTAATTATAGCAATTGGGTTATATAGTTTTTGTTACATTTGGTTCTTTTTATTCTCACGTGGTGGCGCTGTGGGCTAAACCGCAGAAGCCTATGCTGCAGGGTCAGAAGGCCAAGCAGTCGTAAGATCGAATCCTCGTGACGGAGTGAGCGCCCGTCACTTGTCCCAGCTCCCGCCAACCTAGCGGTTCGAAAGCATGTAAATGCGAGTAGATAAATAGGGACCACCTTGGTGGGAAGGTAACAGCGTTCCGTTTCTAAGTTGCACTGGCCATGTGACCACGGAAGATTGTCTTCGGACAAAAAAACGCTGGCTCTACGGCTTGGAAACGGGGATGAGCACCGCCCCCTAGAGTCGAACACGACTGGACAAAAATTGTCAAGGGGAACCTTTACCTTTACCTTATTCGCACAAACACTTAATACTGCTACGATTTTGGAACCATGTGATGAAAACATATCATATGACGTGCAAGTTTTTATCTCACAAAGCTTCTTCAATTTTTTTTTGAACTTTAGAATGGCTATCCAAGTTGAAAAGTTCAGCTTCGAAAGTTGTCCAGACTCTCCTGGAGAAAGAGCTCAGTTTACAAACCCAAAGCAACTGGAAGAAGAGAGACAGCAGGCAAAAGGTTTGGAGATCAACAGCAAGTTAGACATTATCTGGAAAATTATATCCTTTTACTGTGCAGTCCGCTCTCAGAAGTTACTCTGGCTGTAGTGGGTTTGGAATGAGCCATAGCCTCTTGCAGATTGTTGCCTTTGTCCTACCACAACCTCCTAGTGCTGACTGATCTCTGAAATCTGTCAGCAAAACTGCTGAAATCAACCAGCAGAAAAGCCAGAAAAGGTGTGGAGAACAGCAGAGAGAGGAGAGAAACTAAGTTACATCAGACACAAGCACTTGATAGATTAACCGGCCACTGTATACATGTCCATATGAGGAGGTATCCATGCATCTGAAGTGGGTTGCAGTCAAGAAAAGAGAATACCAAATAAATCCTGCTTGTCTTAAAAGTTCTATAAGACTCTTTATTTGTACTGAAACAAACTAACATGGTTACGTTCCTGAAAAAAATGGTTTGAAAAAGAGCACTTAACATAATTGTTGAATAATACAGGGGTGCCTCGCTTAATGAGGAAATTGCTTGACGATTTTGGAACCGATTTTCGCATTACGACGATCTAAAAACAGCTGATCATCGGGTTTCAAAATGGCTACCGGGTGTACAAAATGGCCCCCCACTGTTTTTAGGAGCCATTTTTCGCTATACAGGCACCCAAAAATGGCCGCCTCTATGGAGGATCTTCGCTGGACGGTGAGTTTTCAGACCATTGGAACACATTGAACGGGTTTCAGTGCATTTCAATGGGCTTTTTTTCACTTTACAATGTTTTTGCTCTACAGCAATTTCACTGGAACGAATTAACATCGTCAAGCGAGGCACCACTGTATTTAATTTCTTTTCTTTTGCTTAGATTTTTCGGCATGCTTCCTTTAATGTTTTGCTATCTTCCTGATCAAGTGAAGATAGTCCACGATTAATCTGTTTCCTTAAATGCTGACTCATGAAGAGAGACAACTGCACACTATATTATTCCTGCCCCCTTGCCCAGTTAGATGTGTGAGGAGAGGAAATGGCAGTAGGACGATTTTAGCAATATAAGCGAGTAGTTAAACTGATTCCTGTACTTGTCCTCTCCAAAGGCCAGGATACTTTTAACTAAAACCTCAGTGTGTCATTGATAGACAGCATCCCCCCTTCTTTCTTTTTTTGGTTTTCCTATAAAACAAAAACAAACACATAACCTTGTTTCAACTTGTTGAAGTCATGACCTAAAGGATCTTTTGATCATGATCAAATTACCTGCCTTAAGCTAGTGGCAATAAGATTGCATGGTTTCTAGCCAAATCAACTTTTGGCCCTTGTTTGAAAGTCAGATATACTTGTCAATGAGAAAAGGAAGTATTTCATTTGGCATAGGTTTCCTCACCTGGACTTCTTCTAGATATGCTGGGCTACTAACTCCATAAGGTAAAAGTTCCCCTTGACATTTCGTCCAGTCGTGTCCGACTCTAGGGTGCGGTGCTCATCCCTGTTTCCAAGCCATAGAGCCAGCGTTTTTTGTCCGTAGACAGTTTCCATGGTCACGTGGCCAGCGCGACTAGACACGGAACGCCATTACCTTCCCACCGAGATGGTACCTATTTATCTACTCGCATTTGCATGCTTTCAAACAGCTAGGTTTGCAAGACCTGGGACAAGTGATGGGAGCTCACTCCAAGGCGTGGATTCGATCTTACGACACCTGGTCTTCTGACCTTGCTGCACAGAGGCTTCTGCGGTTTAACCCACAGTGCCACCACATCCCTCCCACCATCCATAGCTACCCTCTGATACCGATGGCAGGCAGTGAAACCTTCTGCACCAGAAGGGAGGCCTGAGAATGGACTTGCTATGAATTTCCACCCGTCTTCTTGTTAAAGGGAGGGCAGATGAGGACATGCTTCTCATGCATGGAAATGATTTCTTAGGTTTTTAATAAACACGATCTTGATCTTGATCTTTATTTAAATATGATAATACTGTGATTGTTGGTAAGTTAGTTTTGGGAGGCTTTTACATTTTTAATTGAGCATGTGCTAATGACATCTGCTGTTGTCTAGACTGCAACATCGTTTTGCTGGTATGCAGTGTTAAGCAGATGGTACACAATTTTTAGACTGGCTAATTTTTTTTTCGCCCTGTGCATGTTATTAATATTTTTTCAATATTTAGTAGGGTATTCAAAGTAAGAGCTATTTTTGGAGCTATTTGGCAGCTTGAAGAGCTATTTTGGCAAGCAAGATGCCTCTTGGGCGTTAGGAAATGGGTAGCGCTTGTACTCGGATATTAAAATAGGAAAACTCAGTGAAATAATTTTGAGAAAATGTTCCCTGTGCCATTATCTGGCTACTTCTTTTCTGGCTGAGATAAATGACTGTGAATATCATGCACCTGATGACTTTCAACATCCTGATACTGAAATTGGGAAAGCTGGTGCTTGGCTGACTGTTTGGAAGAAATAATAAATTGAGCTACTTAAAAATAGGGCAAGCATTTCTGCAGATTTCAAGCTTGTTGTTTGAAAGAGAAATACAATTAAAATACTCTAAGAAGAACTTCTTAAGCACTTTCCAGGCTGAAGCAGTATTAAGGGCACTTGATCCAGGGAATGTTTGGGGTTTCTCTATACATACAAAAAATAAAATCTAGCAGTTTTAGATCTAGCAGAGGGACGTGGTGGCGCTGCGGGCTAAACCGCAGAAACCTGGGCTGCAGGGTCAGAAGACCAAGCAGTCGTAAGATCGAATCCAGGCGACGGAGTGAGCGCCCATTGCTTGTCCCAGCTCCCGCCAACCTAGCGGTTCGAAAGCATGCAAATGCGAGTAGATAAATAGGGACCACCTTGGTGGGAAGGTAACAGCGTTCCGTGTCTAAATCGCACTGGCCATGTGACCACGGAAGATTGTCTTCAGACAAATGCTGGCTCTGTGGCTTGGAAACGGGGATGAGCACCGCCCCCTAGAGTTGAACACGACTGGACAAAAATTGTCAAGGGGAACCTTTACCTTTACCTAGCAATTTTAGCCAAAGCATTTTCTGTACCAGTAACTTCTCAGCTAGACAATACAAACATTGTTTCTCCAATCAAGAGAAGCATGTAGTACTGCATCAGTTCATTATGTCGTTATAATTAATATTTGTCATTCTGAAATAGCTATAAACCAACATAAAAATAGGATAGTATTTGAAAATATGAAAAGGCAATAATTTTGGAGCAGCAGCGTCTCAAAGTGAGCAAGACTGGAGAGAAAGAATAGTGTGAAAGCACCCAAAAACATTTAACAGGATGAAAATGCCATGATGATCAGTATTCTGAAAGTTTGGAATGCAAATGAGAGCAGTGATTTATGATAAGTGTTATTCATTAATCATTTAAGCCATTTTCCTTTAGTATAATTTCTGTTTATGAAAATGTGCTGATTCATTTATGCTGAAGTAGCACCGGGATTAATTCATTCACCTGATTTTATTCACATGGGAAACGACAAGTAGAGCAGAAAGAAACATCTTCACAGCAGAATGCCTGAGGTCAAATAGACTCAGTCCAGAAACTAGGGAGGTAGGATATTTTTGCGGGGCATCTGCAATGTTGTGTTAGTACACTATGTGAAAAATGTATTTCTTATTTTCACATTGAATTATATTGCAAGAATATGTCATTCACTCGAAAATCCTTAATGCTAGTGACAATAAAATAAACATTAGATATTTTGAGATAGGGTCTCTTTTTCATAGATAGATAGATAGATAGATAGATAGATAGATAGATAGATAGATATGAAAAAAATATATGCATATATATATGGAAATAAATGTTTTTGCTAGATCTGTAGTAGCTTGGATATCTGTTTAAAGCAAAAGCAAAGCGTGCTGCTTATATACCGCCCCATAGTGCTTCAAGCACTCTCTGGGCGGTTTACAAGTTAATTATGCAGGCTACACATCCCCCCCCCAGCGAGCTGGGCACTCATTTTACCGACCTCGGAAGGATAGAAGGCTGAGTCAACCTTGAGCCGGCTACCTGGGATTGAACCCCAGGTCTTGAGCACAGTTTTGGCTGCACTACAGCAGTTTAACCACAGCTTCCAACCAGTATACAGCTATTTTATCTGAGAGAGCTACCTTCCCCAGCCCTCTGTTTCCCAAATGAAAAAAAAGGTAATAATTGAAGGAAAAGTAGAAGGTACCCTGTTGCCCCCAAAATAAGACCTATCCTGAAAATAAGCCCTAGTATGATTTTTCAGGATGCTAGTAATATAAGCCCTACCCCAAAATAAGCCCCAGTGAAGTGAAACCCCGTCCTCCACCCTTGTGCAGCAACCAGAATAAGATGACACAACTGTATTTGAATAAACATAGATGGTTGTACATGAAAAAAATAAAACATCTCCTGAAAATAAGCCCTAATGCGTTTTTGGAGCAAAAATTAATATAAGACACTGTCTTATTTTCAGGGAAACAGGGTAGTACAAAAATAGGAGCAGCTCATATGAGATAAATTGGTTTACTGAAGAAAACCACAGATGGAAGTTTGAAAGGCCTTCCCAGGGTTGTTCATGATCAAATCTTTTTCAGGAAATTAATTTGTCAGGTCACCATGAGTCAAAACTGATGGCATATAAAATGGTAGCAGCGCTGTTAGTTGCATACATAGGAAGTAGTTCTGTAGGAAATAGACTGCCTGGAATGAAAACCTTTAATAAGGGTAGTAGTTAAAGACCCAGCATACATTCTTAATTTAAAAAAAACACTCTCAGGCCGTGAGCCAAACACGGAGCTCTTGGAAATCTGTTTCAAGTTAAAATGGACAGTGCTTATCAAGAGACACTAATGACCTGACACGGTATGGAGTACTTCAGTCAATTTCTGTGATATTTGTACCACTTGGCTTAGAGTCACAAACTCACAAGCCAGAATCCTGTTGATATCACAGAGCATAAACTGTAAATCCTGCAAGCAGTAAGTGTGATCTTGCTGTCCGTCTGTTGCCTCCTCAGAACCCCCCTGGGTTCATGATGGATGGCCAGCAAAAGGCAAAAACTGCTTTTTTAATTGCCTTTACACCCAGAGAACGTTGCAGTAGGATTTTGGCCACAGGACTGTATTGCTAGAAGGGACTCAAAGTCCTTCTAGTCCAATCCCATGCTTGATAAACCTGGTCCGGTGTATCATGATGAAAAGTGAAATCTCCTGTTTTCCCATTTTGTTCTCTCTTGAGCCTAACCATGTTTTCTCATTATGGCCTTTAATTCCCTATTAATAATCTAAAGCAGGGGTCCCCAACCCCTGGTCCGCGGCCCGGTGCCAGTCCATGGCCTGGGCCGGCCTGGGCTGCGGAGACAGATCTCCCCCCACACGCACTCCTGCCCCACACAGCCCCTTTGCACATGCGCATGAGCACCACCCCACCCCACCCATTCACGAGTGTGCGTGAGTGTCCCCCGAGCGCCCTTCACACATGCATGAGCGCACGTCTACTCCTTTATGCATGCACACAGTTGCGGTTTGTGTGTGTGTGTGCGCCCCGCCTTCCCCAACTGGTCCATGGAGTTGAAAAGGTTGGGGACCACTGATGTAAAGAATACATTTTAGTCTTAAAGACAGTGTGTGTTTGAGTGTGTGTGTTATGCTTTTATAACTTGTTCTTTAACTATCATTTACCCCTCGTTGAAGCGTGAAGGGGAAGCAAGTGTAGAAGGAGTTCTCAATCAACTAGTCCTAGAGCACCTGCAGTTGGCTCCTCTCCAGTGGGGTGAGTAAGGTGGAAAAGATTGATGATTATATAAAAGTTCCTGTCTGAGATAATGTGTTTTCCCAGTGTACTCTGCAAAATCATTGGGTGACCTCTTGAAATGTTGAACAATACATAATGCTGCTCATAACTTTCATGTTCGATCATTTGTTAAAAGTCATCGAAGTAGAATGGCTTAGTGTGAGACCTTTCCCCCTAGATTTAGTTTTCTCAGTTATAGAAAATCATCTAGGGTGGATATTTCTATTATATTATAGCTTTACTGCCTGTTCCAGTGGAGTATTGTTTTCTTGTTGTTGTTTTAAATGGTATTCATTATTTTGTGAAATGCATCACTTCTCTGTGTTGGAGAGTTTTCGGTCTCAGTAATTTGTCTAAAATATTTTATGAATTTATGATAAAATTATGTCCTTAGTAATGTAAATGGCAGTAGCAGCACACAAGACACAAAGAACTGTTCAGTGGAGGTGGATGCCCTTTTATATCAGGCAAATTTAGCCTTCTAGCGTGTAGGAAACAATAGAAAAACAAAAGCAAAGTGATAACATGCTGGTACTCTCTTGTATGTACTTTTATTTGTAGTGTAGGTCTACATGCGTATGGATATATGTAAGGAAATCATAGTTCGGGATTATGATTTTAAACCATGAAAAATCAGGGAATGGAGGGGTTGGTTTGACTTTTTCTCCCCTGCAGAGTGGCTGTTGTTGCTGCTGATGATGGTGGACTTTGGGTAGGGAAATCTTGACAAAAATATGACTTACAGAGAGATTCTGACACAGTGCCTCTCTCTTGTTCCTGAATACAAATTCAGAAGTTTGGAAGATTTTGCACATCTGTCCAGCGTTGTCTCCTTTCACCCACAATTTCACTGAGATCTCCGCTGGTCATAAACCTATCTTGTTTTGGTGCAGCATGTTCATGGGGTTGATTCCCATGCCATCCCTGAGACAGAGCTGATTTTTTAAATATATATTTTAGTCTTGTTTCAACCCTGCTTTGGTTCCTAAGACTCCTGTGATTGTCCTGGTGGTGATACCAAATAAAGAAAACAAGTTCTGCCCTATGGCTTCAAATTCTTGTAGGCCATGGAAACTCACTGGAGGGTGAGCAATAGTAAACAGTTCCTTACCATAAGTCTGAAGTTACTTGATAGCATATAACAAGAGGTTTAGAGGTACTGTTTATGAGTCCTGCCTCAGGTATGTTTAGGTGTGCCAGTATACTCTCTCTTCTCTTTTGTTGTTTAACATGTAAATATAATCCCTGTGTGTGATGACATAAGGATTTGATATGAAATGTTATTGTTTTTAAAATGTAATCTCTGTTTATTATAATCTGTTCTATTTTTTTAAAGTCTTATCAATTTCATTAATTCTCATCCAGTCTGAGAGCCCTTGAGATGAGAAGTTGGGTACAAATGCTAAAATCCTTCTCATTCATATAATCACTCTATGTGTCTCCCCATCTCCAGCAGGCTTTGCTTCATTCAACTGGTCATGTGCGGGTTGCTAAATCAGGCATGTGACTGATTGGGAAGGAGAACTTGTTGGAGAGGAGAAATCACTATGTGATTGCTATTCCATGTGTTGTTCATAACAGAATCTTGATCACAGTATTTTAAAATGAATAAATTCAGTTGTTTCTTCACAGTGGTTGACATCCTGTTGCCTAACATAATATGTTGCATTTGAGTAGGCCCACTGAACCACTTGGTGTTTGATGAGTCAATTCCTCTGAGTTCCAGTCATTCAAATCGGCTTACTCTAGTTGCAGCCTACTTGAGTATAAGTTGCAACTAGAGTGGACCCACTTGAATCCATGGAGGAGTTGACTGACCAAATCCCCAGTGATTCAGTGGGATTACTCTACTTTAACTTACTACACTAAACAACAGGATTTCAGCAGATGTTAATCTTTGTGCATTTCACAATGCTGTAATTTTATTTTTTATTATAAATTATTTTTGTGAGCTTTGTTGGTTCAAAGTATGTGATGAATGTTCCTCTCAGTCATCTCCATAAGCTAGCTAGAAAAGATTTTGGGTTCCTCTTGCCAATTGCCTCCTATAAATTCTTGATATAGGGACATATATCCACTGTGGGTAGAAGAAGTTCTGCAAATCTCATTTTGATTTTTTTTCTTTGCACAATTTGAAAGGACATATCGTTTCCCTCATGAAAAATGCAAGAGGAAAGATGTGATTCAGCAGTAGCTTGTGATGATACATGTTTATTCAAAAATTCAAAGAAGAAACAAAGAGTTTTAGAAGTGTGTATTTAACATAATAGAATTGTAAATTGTTGAATAATGCAGTTTGAAGGGGCCTATAAGTCCATCAAGTCCAATCCCCTGCTTAATGCTGGAATCCAAACCAAAGCATATCTAACAGATTGTTATCTGATTTAAGTGCCTATTAAAATATGAAGTAAGGAATGAATAAGGAGAATTTATAGCAGAAAGTGTGGTACAGAAAATATGGAAAAATTTATGTTTCCTTTTATTCCAAGGCACTGACCCAAATGTACAAATAGCTTTGTATTAATATACTTAAGTAGCCTAATAATCAGGGACGTGATGGCACTGCAGGTTAAACCGCAAAGCTTCTGGGCTGCAAGGTCGAAAGACCAGCAGTTCGCATCCACGTGACGGAGTGAGCTCCCGTTGCTTGTCCCAGCTCCTGCCAACCTAGCAGTTTGAAAGCATGTAAAAAATGCGAGTAGATAAATAGGTACCACCACAGTGAGAAGGTAATGGCATTCTGTGTCTAGTCGCGCTGGCCACGTGACCACAGAAACTGTCTACGGATAAACGTTGGCTCTACAGCTTGGAAACGGGGATGAGCACCGCCTCTAGAGTCGGACACGACTGGACAATTTGTGCTTCTCTCAAATTTACCATGATTTATGAATGAATTTATTATTCATTTGCTGTTTTTCATCCCCTTGAAACTAGCAACTAACTTCCTGAAAACAGCTTCCTAAAAATAATTCATAAACTCTGTAATAATATGGCTTTTCTTGTGACAGTTTTTAGCCTTTCATCTGTATGAGTTGTATTCTGAATCACTTGCTACATGTGCAGTTCTCCTCAGAACCCTTTTCAGTATTCAGCATTCATCTTGACCTGTGGTACCCAGAACTGAGGACAGAACAAAATGCAAGGTCTTGCTATGAATTAATAAAACAAATGTTATGTTATATTGCTGATTATTCATGTGGTGCTTTTCAACCAAAGGCTCCCAAAACTGGAAACAAAAAGTTCTAGAAAGCAAGTAAAATAATATCATAAAATTACAGAGCAACTGTAATTGCTTCGTTTACTTTAACTAAAGTAAATTGGTACATATTTAGCTTATGTCGAATACATATTGTTAAAACTTTGATTAACTCTGTTATTGCAAACAAATAGACTGAGATATTCCTTAATAGCTCCAGCGTGGGACAACCATCAGAGTTTGCAGTAGGGAACAAGAAATTCAAAGCAGTCTTTGTACAGTTAGTAATTGTCTCAGCTATTATGTTAAATTACAAAAGAAGCAAACAAAACTCCCAGCCCAATAGCTTTCTCCTTACTCGTGGAGGAATTCATGTTCTGTATTTCATATCCCATGTGCAGATGTCAAATGATTCAACAGGTTGACCTTAATTGCTTAGTTGCAGGGAGATTGTTGATGTGGATCTATCCAATGGTAATTCTTTATGTCAGTGGTTCCCAATGTTGGGTCCCCAAATGTTTTTGGAAGAAAACACCCAGAAGCCTTCACTGCTAACTCTGCTGGCCAGGATTTCTGGGAGTTGTAGTCTAAGAACATCTGGGGACCTAAGGTTGGGAATCACTGTTTTATGACTGTTTTATGTGACAAGTCATACTTAAAACTTAGTAAGCATTTATATACACCAGTATGATATTCAGTCCTTCATAAAACCTCTGGTTTATGAAGGTGTGATGTTGGTTCTGGGTCCACAATGCAAAATACTAGGAAATGGCCTGACATGGCCTTGCAACATTGTGCCTGCATCACTAGCAAAAAACATATACCAAGATTTACATTAGCAAAGGCCAGCCTGAATGTTGATGACATTAATAACAGTGTCAGTAAGAATATAATACATCTTACCTTCCTTATTCTTTGTCTAAAACTCCAGGTGACAGAGTGAGCACTCTCAGTTTTAGTATAAACGCTTAAACTGTACCATCCAGAGAATGTTGGATGTGGCAGTATACAAAAAAGACTCCATAAATTAACATTCCTGGCTCAATCAGATTATGTTTAGCATGACATTTCGAGGAATTGTGAAAATGGTACCCTACCCACTTAAGGCCTGCTCCTTGTCTTGCGTGACTACCTCACATTCTTCTGTTCTTTAACATTTTACTTTGCAAAACTTTGTAAACTGAATCAAAGGATTAACATCTCGAGCTGGCAAGTCAGCACTGATGAGAACACCATCCAGAAGGAATTAACCAGTCGGAAAGATTGTGTTTTTCTTTTCTCAAGTGGTTTTCTTGTGCTGTTTAATCAAAGGCTTTATACTTAGTGTACAGGACATTTGAAAACCCAAATTATCTCTTTAAGTGGAACATAAGAAGCTGCCTTATACTGACTCAGACCATTGGTCAACCTGAGTCATGGCTCTTCAGGGCATCGAAGAAGCAGCTTTTTCCATCTCTGGCTGGTCATACCAAGAACTGAATTTGGAATCTCTGGGGTCTGAAACATGAGTTTTAACATATCTTTCCCGTATTTACATGGAGACCTAACCAGCACTCTGAGAAACCTTCATGGCTGAGCAGAAATGTAAAACTTACATCCCTAGCTGTTTTTATGTTTTGCTTTTAGATGACTTGCCTTTGTGATGAAGTTGAAGCAGTATGGGGTATGTAGTCAGAGAAATGTAAGATGGAGTCAGACAGGTTCTGTGTGAAGATGATTTGAGCGACATTGGAATGGGTTTTTCTAAGTGCTATAGAGTGTTTTTCTGAAGATCGGTACAGTG